CAGTACAACATGTATATAGAGAGCACATTGTGAGTTTCCTTTCTCCATCCCATCCTGAGTGTGAACCAAACATCTTGAACCCCACAAGGTCTTGTCTGTTTGAGAGCGTTGAGTAGAATCCTCTTCCGCGCGAGTCTGGGAGTATTTATACGATTCTGCCGGAAGTGAGCGGCGCTGCTGATTGGCTGAAGTTAAAGGCGGTAACTGGCCAATCACCACGCAGTCCATAAGCGAGGCTTGGTCTGAGGAACTCACCGTGGCTTGGCTGGTGGCGACAAATCTGCAGTTGTAGGGAAGTATCCACTACAAGCTCACTGCCTCCACACATACACACCCGTGCTCTTCAGTTTTCCTATTTTATATATTTTTTTCTTAGTATTTTTTCCATAAGGATTAAATTCAGTATTTTTTAATTCAAGTTTTGTGACGATTTCCAAGAATGTACAATAGCCCACGAATACAGGGGGATAAGTGTATACTCATTCATGCTCAAAGATTGAGGATGTAGAGCAACCAATAGTTCAGAAGCAGGCCGAGTAACTTTGCTTGAAAAGCTTCGAATCACGTCGACCCCATGATTAACGATACTTTTTGTTTGGTGGGGTGGGGAGAGCGTACACCTGACTGTCAATATCTTGTATATATTGAAAATACTGTACAGTATTTTCCTGATTTAACAAACTAATTTGAGCCACCCCTTCCCGTTATATCAAAATTTCTGCTAAATCAAATTTCCATTATTTTCACTTGATTTACTAAACTATTTCACTAAATTGAGCGTGATTTCGTTAAATTATGCACCAAACATGTCACACGTCTCTTGGCTTGTCTGATTTGTTTACATCCGCTCAGTCTGTGTCCTGCTGCCACTGCGTGTGTTATTTACTGCTACCTCTCAATTTACTAACTACTCTGGAGCACCTTAGCTTTTGTCTTTATTTAAGACATCTTCGGATGCAACTGAATTTACAGGGACTGAGAGAGGCTTATATATGAGTGACCTTACATAACATCATGTCAATAACATGAGACCCACTAATCCACACACTACCTCCACCGCACACAAAAGAAGAGCTTATAAAAAATTGGGTTACATAACAGATCAGGTCAAAAACATGAGACCCATTAATCATCTACTCTACATCCACCTCAAATGCTTTCAAAGCATTTTTAACCTTAGGCCAGTTATTATTCATTAATTAATACCCCAACACCACAATTAGACGATCTCCCACCAATTACATTTCAGGACGCTATCATCCTCCCAAATTCTGAAATAAATATGTTAGGCCTCACCATTTCCTCCAATATGTCCTGGAAATCACACATCCTTAGTATAACTAAAGCTGCCTCCCGAAAGTTGGGAATGCTGTACAGATGCCGCAGCTACTTCACTCCTGAGCAGTTGCTCCAAGTATATAAGGGATTCATTCGTCCCTAGCAGGTACTGCTCTCATATCGGTGGCTCTTCTTCTGCCCAACTATTAGATAGGGTGGAATCAAAGGCATTTCGTCTTATTAACTCTCCTCCTTTAGTCAACAATCTCTTCCCTTTCTTTGCCGCAATGTCGCTTCACTCTTCTCTTTACAAGTCTTTTAACGGCAATGTTCGTGGATTTGGCATCCTTGTACCGGCCGGCAAGGCTGTGGGTTCAGAACACACATCTTGCCCACGGTGCCCACTGTTTCTCTCTGGATGTCGGTCACACGAGAATAACATTATAGTACCTCCTTTCCTCACACAGCCAAACTGTGGAATGCTCTGCTTTCTTCTGTGTTTCCATGCTCTACAATCTGTCTCACTTTAAAAGCTGGTTTTCCGCATCTTTGTGGTGTAGATTAATGTATAACCTTTTTTTCTATATTTACAATTTCTTTTCCGTTCTTTTTTTTCGCCCCCAGGCCCTGCTGAGGTCATTTGACCTGTGCCCGGGTGGGCTAATTCCCGTAAAAAAAAAAAAAAAATCACATACAACATCTAGAGTTTAAAGTCTTTGTGTGTGAGACATTGAGTTGGGGAGGAAGGGGGAGGAGGGAGCAGAGGGAGGGAGGGAGGAGGGAGGGAGGGAGAGCAGAGGGAGGGAGGGAGAGAGGGGGAGCAGAGGAGGAGGAGAGAGGGAGGGAGGGAGCAGAGGAGGCAGAGAGGGAGGAGGAGAGGAGGAGGCAGAGAGGGGAGAGGAGCAGGGGGAGGCAGAGAGGGAGGGGAGGGAGCAGAGGAGGTGGCAGAGAGGGGGAAGAAGGAGGCTGGCTGTTGTATGTCTTATCATTGGTAATGTAATATATTAAATAATAAATAAATATATTATATATAATTTTATCCAAATTACATGACAAGCAGAATAATAAGGCAATTTTTTCACACAGACCTCCACTGAGAGGAGGCGGTAGGCCTACACACGTCCTACACACTCTCTCTCTCTCTCTCTCTCTCTCTTGCTCTCTACCTCTTGCCTCTACTCCTCTCTCTTGCCTCTCCTCTCCCCCTGCCTCCCCCTTGCCTCTGCCTCTTTGCCTCTGCCTCTTGCTCTACTCTCCCTCTTGCCTCTCTCTCCTTGCCTCCCCACCTCTCCCCATACTCTCTCTCTCTCTCTCCCCCACACCTCTCCCATTTATTCTTTCCTACTCTCTCTCCTCTCTTCTCTCTCTCTCTCTCTCTCTCTCTCCTCTCTCCTCTCTCTCTCTCTCTCTCTCTCTCTCTCTCTCTCTCTCTCTCTCTCTCTCTCTCTCTCTCTCTCTCTTGCTCTCTACTCTCTCTCTCTCTCTCTACACTCTCCCTCTCTCTCTACTCTCTCTCTACTCTCTCTCTACACTCTCCTCTCTCTCTCTCTGCTCTCACTCTCTCTCTCTCTCTCTCTCTATACAGTGGCGTAGCTAGAGTGTGTGCCGCCTGGGCGTTCTTGAGTTTGCCCCCGTGACCCTACAAAATACATATTGCACAGTGACTCACTTTTTTATTTATATATATATATATATATATATATATATATATATATATATATATATATATATATATATATATATATATATATATATATATATATATATATATATATATATATATATATATATATATATATATATTATATATATATTAAATAGTTTGCTCTTATTGTTGTGACAAAAAGCCACCCGATCAAAGTAGGGGCTTGTCTGGGTGGCTTTTGTCGGGGGGGCTTTTGTCTGGGTGGCTTTTGTCGGGGGGGCTTTTGTCTGTACCCCAGTGAGGATAGTGTCTTAGTATAAAATCGCAATGCTGTGAAACAAAATCTTAATATTTAATCTCAGTACTGCAGCAAAAGTCACATCAATATTTTTTAACCAATACTTTAATATTTCTTACCTTATAGTATTATGTCTTCCAACGAAGTAAATAACTGGATCGAAAACACAAGAGAACTTAAAAGTCGTCTAGCCTCCCCTCGTCTTGTCACGATGGAGACTTGTGCAGAACTGAAGTGAATTGCTTGTAACTGGTGGATTGGTCGGCTGTACATGAACTGATATGACCCGAGACTGCATGGTTTTGCAGCTACTGGAGACGTTAATCCTTCCCTTTGTATCGGCGGCAAGTTAATCCTCGTCGTGTCTGACCTAACACCTGACCCACACCACATGAGCTCACTGGCGTACTTGTTTGAAGTTGTTTCCTTAATCCTCAACAGGTTACAGGTTGTGTGTGTGGCGGGGGGGGGGGCGCATAGCAAGGGTGTAGCTCATGACGTGGCCGTGATGATGTGGGTCAGGTGTAAGGTCAGACACGACAAGGATTAACTTGCCGCCGATACAAAGGGATGGATTAACGTCTCCAGTAGCTGCAGATATGGGTGATGAGCAGACCCAAAAGTGCCGCCCCCCCAAAAGTGCCGCCCGGGGCGGACCGCCCCCCTAGCTACGCTAGTGTGTCTATACTCTCTCTCTCTTGCTCTCTACTCTCTCTCTCTCTCTCTCTCTCTCTCTCTCTCTACTCTCTCTTGCTCTCTACTCTTGCCTCTACTCTCTCTATATACTCTCTCTCTCTCTCTCTACACTCTCTCCTCTCTCTCTATTTATTCTTTCTCTCTACTTTCTATAATATTCTCTCTCTACTCTCTCTCTCTCTCTCTACTCTCTCTCTCTCTTACTCTCTCTCTCTCTCTCTTACTCTCTCTATACTCTCTCTCTACTCTCTCTCTCTCTACACTCTCTCCTCTCTCTCTCTCTACACTCTCTCCTCTCTCTCTCTCTCTCTACACTCTCTCCTCTCTCTCTATTTATTCTTTCTCTCTACTCTCTCTCTATATATTCTCTCTCTACTCTCTCTCTCTCTCTATACTCTCTCTCTCTATACTCTCTCTCTCTATACTCTCTCTACTCTCTCTCTCTCTATTCTCTCACTCTCTTTCTACTCTCTTTCTCTACTCTCTCTCTCTTTTATGGTGTTTTCACATCATTATTTATTGTTTTTATACATTTAGTACATTCACTGTAGGCTGAAGTAGGTTTTACTGTATCATATGTCTGAGGTGTCTCCGTAGGTGTGAGCTTATTAATGGAATTAATCTCGATTTAGCGAACTAGTTCACTAAATCAAGCAAAAAATAACTGAAAAAATTCCTTCCGCTAAATCGAGTTCATTACATTGGATGCCGTTAAGTCGAGAGTGTGCTGTACATGTAGCATCATCATATCAAACTTTTTCAAAATAATGAATGCCGGTGCTGTAGCATTTTAAATTCTTGGTGTCTTTATTTACTGTAATATAATTCATGGAAATATTGTACACTTAAAATACAGTTAAAAGATTTTGACCCATGGCCATTACTATAGCCTTTAAAGAGGTTTAATTTTGGTTTGTTTGTTAATGGAATGGTTACCATATTTTGAGTGGGAGTAGGTTGAATGGCTGTGGTGTTAGTTATATCTCACAGGATGCCCTTTTTTTATTCCTTTAGCCGTGAAATTGGATTTCTTACTCTAATAATTATTATTTATTTATTTATTTATTTATACAATAAACATACCTGTAGGGGTGTTGGAAGCTCCATATACTGCTCATTACTGGGCTGATAGAGTACATGAGTTCCAGAAATCTCCTCAAGCCCTCCTTGATAGATGATCTTTCGTTTAGATGGTGACAATTTGCAGTCAAGCGCTAGTTCCCTGTCACGGATGTGGTTGCTGATATCTGCTTTTTCTCTGTTGTTTGTGAAGAGTTTGAAAAGAAAAAGCTGAACTTGGTATATATATATATATTAGAAAGTGAGAAAGAGTTTGTAAGAGTGAAAGGAAAAACTGTAATCAAAATTTTGAGGTGCACCTCAGTGGACCTCTTTTACCCAAAATTCCAATAACAGAAAACTCCAAAGAACCATAAAGAAATTGCACTTTTACTTTTTGCTTATTATCCAATAATTCATCCATTATCCAAAAAAGCTGCAGTTCTTTTGGATACAGCCACTTCAAGAAGACAGTGGTGCTGTAGTTGGTAGATGCCAACATGTCATTGTTTTCAAGCACAGTAGTGTCACAGTTATCCAGCACCTACAGGGATTGAGAGATGCCGGATAAAGAGTTTTTCCGGTTAGTTGAAAGTCACTCTTAGGATCCATCAATAACTCCTACAATGCACAGTGCTACAGTCTGACTTCACAAACTCGTGTCTTAGAAAAACGGACTTCTTTAATACTTACTCAACTCTATATAAATGTGGCTTATTAGTAAAAAAATTATACAGTAAACCCTTGCTATTCGTGGGTTTGTGATTCACGATTTCAACTTCACGGTAAGCAGATGGTGGCTAGCTTACGAGCTTCTCCCACAGCAGAACAAGTCATCCCCACATGACAACAGCATCTTCTCTCCCTCCTCTCCCTTTGTTTTTGCTCAACCATTGCCTGTGACACAACATCTCTTGTGCTTTTCTCAAAACATTCGTGTTTCTGTGTGAAATGGCCCCTAAAAGACTGCCTAATGTCAGTGTTAGTAATGCTAGTGAAGTGAAATGCTTAGAAACCTCAAAGCCATGAGGAAACTGTAGGTTATGTATCTAAGCTACTGTGCCGAGTAGCAACCTTGTATGTAAGCTACTGTGCCGAGTAGCACTTATGTATATAATTACGTGGCAACACTGCACGTGTTATGTGGCAACATTGCCCCGAGGCTGCCATATGGCAAGGCAGTCTCAGTCTGACTGTGTGAGCCGTGCATGGCACACGCTAGTCACCACTTGTATTTCTCCTATCCCTTAATAAACGGACTTCAGTGTTATCCGGTGTTCCCTACCCATCACTGCATTCTTCAGGGAACACTTGTAACCTCCAGAAATGACTACCAATCATGATGATTTTCAAGAAAGAACCAGCCGCTCGCCCAGCTGATTCATCTCCCTCAACTACTCATTCAGCTACTGCTGCTCCACCACTCTCCTCCTCACCACACACCACCCGCCTCCCCGCCATCTGCCTCTCCATCACCCGCCTCTCCACCAACCACCATTGCATCAACCTCTTCCAACAGTGATCCTAATGATCTCCCCATGCTTCAGCAACCAGATTTCATTGTACTGTACAGTACACTTCATCAAGCTCCAAACTTCCACATACGAAGGAGAGTAGTATTGGTGACTTATTTTCTCATATATAGTACAGTACTGTATAGGTATACAGTAGTGCACTTAGGTAGTATAAGTTTGCTATTCGCGGTTTTGCCAATTCACGCCATTCCTTGGAACCTAACCCCTGCAACTAGCAAGGGTTTACTGTATTATAAAACTATAAAATAAGAAGAATTAAGAGCTTTGGTGTGTATGCACAAGAAGTGAACATGTGTGGAGGTGGTGAGCTATAACTACGTTGCCGACTTGCCAGCCAAGCTGTCACATTTATTGTTACTTACAATTAAACTATAAAAGTTGTGCACAAATAATTACAATACAGTGGAGTCTGGATTTATGCAGTTTTGGTTAACGCGTTTGGTCATTTACGCGGTGCCATGCCAGAATCGAAATGCTTTAATTACGTGGTAAATTTGGTCATATACGTGGCGAGTCACTGGAGGGTCCAGACTCACTGCGCCATTTTGGATTCAAGCGGCCCGCCATCCCGTCAAGCGACGCGAGTAAGGTTGCACAGTATGTCGCTGTTGCGTTATCAGTGACGTCATATGACGTATCGGACTGTGATTGGGCCACGCATTCTTACCTCCCTCCCCCACTAGCTGTGATTGGTTTAATGTAATATGACGTGCCCTGCCACGGGAGGGAAGAAGCCGCTGACCTAGCAGGGCCTGTCTCATTGTTCTCAGTCCGCGTATACAGTTCTCTCTTGTGCCCGCTATTCCCCTCACAATGGCTTCTGCTGGACCCCCACCACCAGAGAAAAACATTGAATTACCTGGACCAAGCCATGATTGTGTGAAGGAAATCATCGAGTTGGGGAAGAAAATTAAGCTCATCCTTAACAACGACCCAGACAAGCATCGGTATGAAGCGTCTAATAACCATCTGACGAAATTTATGGAGCCGTATATCCAGATCTATCTCGACAACATCAATGCTAGTCGTCAGCATAGTATTAAGGACTTACTCGCCCACAACCCACCACAACCACAGCCAGCCCAAATCAGTGATAGTGACGATATGGACTTTGAGGGGTTTGTCTGGGAGGCCCTGCAAACCTCTGCGAGTAGTGAAAGTGATTCACCGGAGGGCAACTAATCTGCCCTCTGCCTCGGAACCAGCTGCCATCCACGTGTACCGACCCAGCTTTTCTACTAGTGTAAGTGTTAAAAAACCTAATATTATTGATATTTCTCTTAATTATTAATTATGTGTGCATACCATCATAAAATTAAAATGTTATTTTTACTACAACGTACGTATTGTGTCAGAAAAAGTGGAGTTTGGGGGTCGGCCCAGTCTCTATTTCAACTGATCCCATATGTTCTGTTATTTCATTTACTCGTTTCTCGTTTTACGCGGTCCTCCACGGGTTCAATTGACTGTGTAAATGCAGACCCCACTGTACTCTAAGTGGCTTAGAAATAAAGAAAATGTAATATAAAACTACTGTATAAATAAGAAAAATTAAGAACTTGTGTGTGTATTCAAACTTAAGATACTAGCTGATTTTGGAAGAATTTTTAGTTTTTTATTATTTCATTTTGGGGCCTGATAATTGAATCTTCCAGTTGCCCAGATAACTGGCATTCTACTGTAACTTGTTTGTAGTAACACTTAGTTAACTTTCATTGTTTCTTAATAACTCAATGGGTACTCCATACCTTTGCTAATTAGACAAAAAAAAAGGGGGGTTCTGGGTCACTCAATTTACTGAAAAATCTGAATTAACCGAGTTCAAAATATTTTGACGTTATTCAACAATTTCCGATTTTTTTCCAAAGTTTGTAATAAGTAAATGTAACACTTACATTGCAAGGTGAGATGATAATATGTAGATGATATATAAATCCAGAGAAAACACTAACAACTGATAAGCATGCCAGCTGTGGTGTAATGGTCAGCATCCTCGCCTCGCAAGCGAACAGGCCTGAGTTCGATCCTCGGGCAGGGTGAAACTATGGGCAAGTTTCTTACGCCATTTTTGCCTCTGTCTACCCAGCAGTAACTGGGAACCTGGATGTTAATCGATTTGCGGATCGTATTCTGGGGTAGTGGTTAGCCAGTGCAGTTGGCGAGCTGTCCAGTCTTCTCAGATTATTCCATGACACTGGGTCATGCAGCTCATTAACTTAGGGTGTGGTTGTTGTGTTGGCGACAGCTTCTACACCTTAACAAATTCACGCCTAGGAGGCTCTTGGGCCATTCATCCTCGATTTCGAGGGCTTCCATTATAAAACAACAGGGTGTTGTCAAACATACGGGCATCCATGATGCAATAATAATTTACGTACGGTTTTATCACAAATTGCATTCATTTTACTCACTGAAAATCGTGCAAAATCATTCAAATTTATATTATTATCAACACAATTAACAACATTATCCCATTATCTACTAAAATAACATCTGCTTTAAGGCACTAAGCATCTCAACTGATGAGGTGGCAGCACCGCATAACCTCCGCCTACACTGGTGACCTGCTCTCACATGATAGCAGCATGACCCAAGGTTACATGCCACTAAGTTAATTCCCAGATAGATGATTACTTCTCACTTGGACAATTCCCATAAAGATGATTCGCATAAAGACTGTTCCCCTATGGAAATTTATAGGTAAAAATTGTCCATACATCCCAAATTTTATTAGAAACACTAACTATTATAGGAATATACAGTAAAACCTCGATTAACCGACTTTCGGATTAACCGTCAATCCCGAACTCAAAAAAATAAATAAATAAATAAAATAAAAAATTCTGGGATTAGCCCACCCGGGCACAGGTCACTGACCCACATCGGGGCCTGGGGGGCGATAATGTAATAATATTAATAATGATAAGGGTACAGTAATAATAATAATAATAGTAATAAAGAACCATAAAGAAATGCAAAAATGAAAAAAAAAAACATAAAGAGTGAGAAACAATATATGTATGTTGTGTTGTCAATAGTAAGAGAAATAATTGAGACCCTGCAATTGTGTGTAAATGAGGCAGAAAGTCAGATCAGCAACCTGGGACTTGGTCACAATTTTTGTGATGACATGTTCTTCGACTTTTCCATTTTTTATTCACGGTTTCTGTGTTGGTTCATATTTATTTACTAAAGTGGTTAATGTTTTAAAGCAAATTCTATTGAAATATGAATGGCAAATGAACAAAAATGAATAGAGGGAATTAAATGAGGTAGGTTAGGAATAGGTACTTTGAAAATGTATGTTTTATTTCCGTAGACTTTATGTACGATTAACCGACCTTTCGGATTATACGTCGGCCCCCTTCCCCCCATATGTGGTCGGTTAATCGAGGTTTTACTGTATTATGATTTAATATTAGGATGAATAAATTTTATGAATACAGTTGGGTCTCACATTACGCGGTTAATGTAACCCGGAGGGTACCGCGGAAAGTGAGGAACGCGTAAAGTGAACAACATAACATATGGGATTAATTGAAATGGAGTCCAGGCCGATCCCCAAACTCCACTTTTTGACGACACATAACTATGTTGCAGTAAAAATTTTATCTTAACTTTATGATGGTATGAAAAAACAAGTAATATAGAAGAGGTTAGGTTA